GTCTCTCTCTCTCTCACCTTCTATCTCCCTCCCTCTCTGTGTCTCTGTGTCACCTTCTATCTCCCTTCCTCTCCTTATCTCTCTGTCTCTCTCTCTCTCTCACCTTCTATCTCCCTCCCTCTCTGTATCTCTTTCCCTGTCTCTCTCTCTCTTGGTCTCTGTCTCTCTCTCTCACACACATACATCTTCTATCTCCCTGCCTCTGTGTCTCTCTCTGTGTCTCATCTTCTACCTCCCTTCCAGTCTCTCTCTCTCTCCCCCCTCTATCTGTCTCTCTCTCACATCTTCTATCTCCCTCCCTCTCTGTCTCTCTCCCCGTCTCTGTCTCTCTTACCTTCTATCTCTCTCCCCGTCTCTCTCTTTCTCTCACCTTCTATCTCCCTGCCTCTGTCTCTGGCTGGCTGTGGTTGCAAGAGGAGGGGGGTCACCCGAAGGGACTCATCCAGTGTGGCTTACACTTGTTCCTCAGCCGGCCTGGATTTCCAAAAAGTTGCCAAGAAGAAAGAAAAGGGGCAGTGAAGAGCCCTAAGGAGACCTTGTCGGGTTGGCCCAGCCTCGACTTTCTGAGAGAGAGAAGAGACAGACAGACAGACAGACAGACAGACAGACAGACACACACAGATAGAGTTACAGAGGGGGAGGGGTGACCGGCTGATGGGTGTCATTGATGAGGGCCCTCTGAGTTCTCCGGGTCTGACCCCCTGGGTGGGAGTGCAGTCCCCCCAGCCCTCACATTAGCGAAGGCGGCGTTGGTCGTGGCTGGTTTGGGCCAGTATCTCAAGGTAGAGAGCAGGTTGTTCCCCCCCAAGCGACTGAGGCTCTCCCAGCACCAACAAGGGCCGGAAGAAGCTCCAGCAAGAGTGAGGTGCCGGAGAATCAGCCCTGGCCGCTTCTCCATCCCCTGCCTTTGCCCTTACCTTCTCAGGCCAGGCAAGGAGTGACTGGGAGGGGAGGGCGAGGGTGGGGCAGCCAGTGGTGGGATCAGCCGACAGGGAGCCACAGCAAAGGGCCCAAAGAGCCGCATGTGGCTCTGCAGCCGCAGGTTGCAGACACACAGGCTAGCTGAATAGGAGGGAAAACTATCTCTGGTTAAAGGAAGTTGAATCCATCTGAGGGGAGATGAGGTGGCTCCCTTGAGGGAAGTAAGCATTATCCCATAGAGCCCCATTCTCCACAGCCCCAGAGAGCTGGAGCAGGAACGCCAGATATCAAAAGGTGGGGGACAAGATTCCGCTTATGTTTGAGACAAAAAGTCGTGATGGGAAGGCAGAGTCAGCTGCCTGTTCCCTGGAGGTCTTCAGACACTCTGGGGATCAGAGGAGATGTGTCTGGAGGCCCCTTCTCTTCTGAGAAAATGCCATGAAGTCCCTCTTAGATTCCTGCCAAGGACAGCGCATCCTCACATGCTCCCCCTGGTTGCAGGACTTTCACTTCACTGCAAGGGAGATGGAGGACCTGCTCTCGGCCTCTCTTGCCCGTTTCCAACGGTGGCTGTGGAGCAGTGAGCAGAGGCTCCTGGGCTCGGAGCTTCCTTCCTGGCCTGGGCCTGAGCCCCTGCGCTGTCCTTTTCAGGTGGCGGATGGCAAGACCAGGTGGGTGGGCTGGTCCCAGGGCTTAAGATTGGGCGCTCGAAGGCCCAGCTGCCACTGAAGGTCGAAGTGGAAGAGATCAGCCCCCCAGAAGGCTTCGTCCACACCTTGAACCAGCACTTGCTCTTGCTGTACACGGGGAAGACCCGCCTTGCTCGCAACTTGCTCCAGGTATGTGAGGCGCATCTTCTGACTAGCACCCCGCTTTGCACACGTTTGCTCCTAGATCTTAGTCTCATAACGCTGATTCCTTGGGTAGACACAAACCCTCAATACACTTAGATGAAAAGGTGGTTACAGGCTATAGAGTTCACATGTGAAGGCCTCACATGTGGCAACATTACAAGAAACAGCCAAAATAACACACAGCTTGTATTGTAACAAAATTGTGGAACAGATTTTCTTCTATGAAAAATACAAACTTGAAATTCTGTCTGCCATATTTGTAGACCTTCAACAGACAAATAGAATTGGATTTAGCCTTACTCAGAGTAGATCCATTGGAACTAGTGATGCTTGAGAATTACCCATATTTCTCTAGATCCAATCAAAAGGTATCAGATCAGGGAATCTGGTCCCTGGCCTAGACCTGCTCTCTAGATGATGCACAGAGGCTCCTTGGCACAGGACGGCCTCGTGCTCTGAAAATGCCAGGTGGGCTTCTCTCCTGAGGACTCTGCAGAGAGCCAGGAGGACCTTGGTGAGTTGTGAACTGAGATCAGCAGCCACATGTTTGGCCTATAGTGGAATGTCTGTGGTCATGGTTGCTCACAAGCAGCCACTTTAAAATTGGTACAGCACCCCTACTCCAAGGAAAGTCAGCAGCCTTGAAATGCCAGAAGAGAGCATAGATAATTTTGCAATTTGATCCTCAGAAGACTGCTGCAGTCTTCCTGCAAATTTCGCTACTTTTCTAATAACTCTTTTGATCCAGAAAAAGGAATTAAGAGGGATTCACTCTACCCAACTTTCTCTAAATGGTTAAGTCTTTAATCCACTTCAAAATATCCACTTCAGTAATCATATGATCTAGCAACATTCCTTTAACTTTTATTTTACACTGCCCATTGTCCCCAATTAATTAAAATAAAAATCTTTCCCAGAGAAATATGCGTTTGTCTTATAAATATTTTAAAACAATAAATCCAAATTCAATTGTTCCCTTAGCCCGCTTTCAGTTTTCTTAATTTAAACTTGGTGAGTTTTTTTTAAAATCTTTAATTATTTTTCAATATTTTAAAATTCTTGCTTATCTTCAGATAAAAAATCTGAAATGAAGGTTCACTTACTGGGCAGCTTGATTGCTTTGCTGGCTCAAAGATCTTTTACTATGAATTGTCTTCCAACTTTAAATAGTGTGTGCTGGGCGGGCAAACTCAAGGCCCTTTGCAGGCTCTGCTGTAGCTGTGCGCTCACTGTCTCCCCCAGAGTCTCCATACCCGGGTTCAAGGAAGTTCTACGTTCCCTTTGGATCTTGAGAGTCTCCTCACAAGGAGCAGCTTTCCAAAGCACCCACGGCTCCCGCCCTCTCCTTGTACGGGGAGGTGTTGTTGCCCTGAGCTGAACACGTGGCTGCCGATCTTCCCCGCATTGCCATCCCAGTTTGTGACAGCGTGCCATTTTTTTGCCCATGCAGAAGTCTCAAAAATATTATTATTATTACTTATTTATTAGATTTCTATCCCAGTGGAATTTAAGTATATTTTGTTATTAGGTTCACATTCTAAACTGACTGAGTGGGCCCTGGAAACTTCCCATCCCTGTCTGACCTCCCCCCACAACCCGCATTTCCCCTTTGGGAAGCGGACCCAAGAAAAGGCACCGTGCCCTGCCCTGCCTCTTCCTGAACCTGCCTGTTCAGTTGACAGGGGAAGGTCCATGGCCAGCTGGTTGCCTCCAACTACTCCCCCCCCCATCACCTCCCATGGCACCTGTGGATCGGGGGGGGGGGAGGGACAGTGCGGGGCAGCAGGACTGTTCCCT